GGGGCGCTCCCAGCCCCTGACATCACGCCCCCACGCCGTACCCGATGGATTGTGGAGCCTAAGTTCCCCTTCCAGGCGTGGCCACAGCTCTCTCAGCCTTTGCTTCCTGTCGGGGAGTCCTCGGCCCCAGCACACACTCTGCACGTTTCCTTCCTTGACACAGGGACCTGGACCCAGGCTCTGCCCTGTCAGACGCAGACATGGTGCCCCTGCTGCTGCTGCCCCTGCTGTGGGGAGGTGAGTGGGGCGAGAGGGAGGCCCGGGCATGGGCGGGGGAGGGGCCGGAGCTGCAGCTGAGCCTCTGTGTCCCCACAGGGTCCCTTCAGGACAATTCCGGGTTCAAGCTCCAAGTGCAGAAGTCAGTGAGAGTGCAGGAGGGTCTGTGCGTCGTCGTGCCCTGCTCCTTCTCCTATCCCTGGAATTCGTGGTATAACCCTGCCGAACTCTACGTGTACTGGTTCTGGAAGGGGTCCAACACACACCGCAACAGTCTTGTGGCCACGAACGACCTAACCAAAGCAGTGTCCGTGGAGACCCAGGGCCGATTCTACCTCCTCGAGGACCCCATGACCAACAACTGTTCTCTGAGCATCAGAGACGCCAGGAAGAGTGACACAGGAAACTACTTCTTCCGAGTGGAGAGAGGATATTTTGTGAAACATAATTACCTTGATGAGACGCTTAATTTGAAGGTGACAGGTACAGCAGGGGCCCAGGAGAGGACCTGGAATGTGGGACCCCGTGTCAGAACAGGGACAGGACTCTGGAACAGCTGCTGTCCAGGCCTTGGGGCAGGAATGATGGGAAGAGACGCGGGACCTGGGGTGAGCTTCGGCCCTGAGGCTTGGGTCCCCGCCCCCTGGGTCCCAGGCACCTCCTTGTCTGCTCCTCAGTCCTGACAGAGAAGCCTGACATCCACGTACCGGAGGGCCTGGAGTCCGGCCGCCCCACGCGCCTGACCTGCAGCCTGCCAGGGTACTGTGGAGGCGGGAGTCTCAGCTTCTCTTAGACGGGGGCCGCTCTAGACTCTCTGAAGCCCCAGAGCCTCAGCAACTCCTCCGTGCTCACCCTCACCCCGAGGCCCAGGGACCACGGCACCAAACTCACCTGTGAAATCGGGTGATCACAGAGAAAACCGTCAGGCTCAATGTCTCCTGTGAGTTTGGAGGGGTGTCTGGTCCCTGGGGGCAGTGGGTTTGGGGTGGGGTGTGTGTGTGTGCGCGCGCGCACGCTTGCACTGAGCTGATTTGTGTATGCATTTGAGTCTCGGGGGAAGGGGGAGTGGGCCAGCACCCCCACCCACCCTGTTCCTACTGCCCCTCCTTGGCTATGGGGTCCATTTCCCACCTGCTCCTCACCTCTGAAGTGGGGCCATATCTTTCTATTCCAGATGCCCCACAGAACCTCACCATCAGCATCTTCTTCAGAAATGTCACAGGTAGGATAGAACTTCGGCCCTTGGGTGCTGGGACCTGTCCTTGGGCTACTGTGGAGCAGGATTGGGGAATCAGAGTTTGAATGGGATCAGCTCTAAGAAGGGCAAGGATAAAAATCACCTCCCTCCCTCCCCTACCTCTTGTGGACGTGTGCACCTGTACACACTTGTACACACTGTTCGAAGCCCATGTCACCTCATCATGGCACTGCCCCTGGCTTTCCATCTTTCCCGCCGCCCCTTGGAATATTGCTAGGACTAAGCCTTAGTCCTCGTTCCTGCTGCATGCACTGGCTGCTTCACGAAGCCATGGGGGGTCTCTGCTTTCCTTTGCCAGCAGTCCAGGCATGTCCTAGTGGGACCTTGAGCCTCCCTTGAAGCTGAGAGACCCAGATACTTTTGTGCCAAGCTCCTCGGGGTGTACTTGGTCCAGCCTCTGAACCTAGACAGAACCAAGCCAGTGGGCCAGGGGAGGAGACAGAGATGTCAAGCTGAAGGAGGGGTTGATGGAGACTGTCAGCCCCCCATCTTTCTCTCTCTCTCTCTCTCATTCTCTCTCTCTCTCTCTCTCTCTCTCCCCGCTCTGTCTTTGTCTCTCTGTCTCTCTCCAGAGATGACGAGATATGTGGAGAACGCAAGGAATGGCTCATCTCTTCCAGTCCTGGAAGGGGACGCCCTGCGCCTGGTCTGTGCTGCTGACAGCAACCCTCCTGCCACACTGAGCTGGGCCCAGCGGGGCGAGACCCTAAGCCCCTCCCAGCCTTCAAGCCCCGGGATCCTGGAGCTGCCCCGGGTGGAGTCAGGGCATGAAGGCGAAGTCACCTGCCGAGCTCAGTACCCGGGGGGCTCCCTGCACGTCTCTCTATACCTCTCTGTGCAGAGTGAGTGGGGAGCAGGGGAAGCACCAGAGAGAGGCCCCCCGGGGTGGGCAGGGGAGAGGCGCCACTGACCCTTCTCCCCTCTTCCCCACAGGCCCCCTACAGCTACTGGGACCCTCCTGCTCCTGGGAGGACGCGGGGCTGTGGGGCATGAAGGCGAAGTCACCTGCCGAGCTCAGCACCCGGGGGGCTCCCTGCATGTCTCCCTGCACCTGTATGTGCAGAGTGAGTGGAGAGAGGGGGAAATGCCAGAGAGAGGCCCCCCGGGGGATGGGGAGGGGAGAGGCGCCGCTGACCCTTCTCCCCACCCCCACAGACCCCCCACAGCTGCTGGGACCCTCCTGCTCCTGGGAGGACGCGGGGCTGCACTGTAGCTGCTCCTCCCATGCCCGGCCGGCCCCCTCCCTGCGCTGGCGGCTGGGGGAGCAGCTGCTGGAGGGGAACCTCAGCAAAGCCTCCCTCACCGTCACCTCCACTTCAGCCGGGCCCTGGGCCAACAGCTCCCTGAGCCTCCGCGGGGGGCTGAGCTCCAGCCTCAGACTCAGCTGCGAGGCCCAGAATGCCTACGGGGCCCGGAGCGACGCTGTCCTGCTGCTGCCAGGTCTGGGGTCTGCTGGGGGCAGAGGCTTAGGGAGAAAGGAGTGGGTCGCGACGAGGCGGGGGGAAAGGGCTGGGCCCAGACAGCAGGTGATGGCCAGCAGCGGCCCTCCACCTCCTGTGTCAACAGAACCTACAGCCAGTTCTGCAAGGAGGTCGGGAGACGGGACAGAGTGCCGGGAAGGGGTCCTTTCATGCCCCTCTTCTCGGCAGGGAAGTCGGGGTCCCTGGAGGGCGTGGTTCCTGGGGCGCTTGGAGGTGCTGGCGCCATGGCCCTGCTGTCCCTGTGTCTGTGCCTCATCTTCTTTTGCATGTAAGCCTTTGTCCCGGGGAGGTGCAGGAAGGGGTGTGGTAGCAGGTGCAGACAGAGGTCACCGAATCCCAGAAAGGCAGAGCTAAGTACGTCGAGAGGGGCCTTTTTGTGGGGGGGGGTGGGGGTTAAACTTTATCGAGTTATAATTCCCATGTATTTAAAGTGTACAATTCCTTGGCTTTTAGTTCATTCACAGAGTTGTGCGTTCATCACCACGATCGATTTTAGAACTTTGTCGCCGGCCTAAAATGAAAAAGAAACCAAAAAGAGAAAGAAAGAAACCACACGCCCCTTCATTGTCATTCTGCCCCTATCCTTCCTTTAGCCCTAGGCAACCACGAATTTATTTTCTGTTTCTCTAGATTTGTCCATTCTGGACGTTTCCTATAAACGGAATCATATAATAGACATGGTCCTCTATGGCTGACATCGTTCATACAGCAGGATATTGTCAAGGTTCCCGCATGTGTCAATACGTGATCCCTTTTTATTTCTGAACAACATTTCATCGTATGGATGAGGCACATTTGTTTGACATTTAGGTGGTTTCTACATTTTGGCTATCACGAATAGCACTGCTCTGATCGCTCTCGTACACGTTTTTGTGTGTGAGCGGGGTTTTTGGTGATGGGAATTCAGTCCTGGCCAAACGCCTGGTCGTCCGGGGGGGCTGGATGTCCTCATGTGCATGTCGAGAGGGTCTCCGAGTTTGCTCCCTGGGTCCAGATGCCTCAGTTGTCCTCCCAGGGAGTGGGGGCAGCCTGCCCACCTGTGCCTGATTTCTCCCCTTAGACTGAAAGCCCGCAGGAAGCAAGCAGCCGGAAGACCGAAGGGCAAGGACGATGAAGACCCTGTCATGGGTACAGTCTCCTGGGTGAGCGATGCGAGAGTCTTTTCACGCAGTGTCTGGGTCCATTCGAGAAGTTCAGACTGAGCCACTTCCCCAAATCCATTTCTCCATTGTCAGCTAGGCACACAGCTGAGAGCTGACGTCCCCTGGGCTTTTCCCCTTCCTCTCCCAGAAGCTGTGGTCAGCCTCCCGCCACCCCTGCTGAATGCTGAGCTTACCAGACACAAGCTGCCAGAACCATCCCCCCAAAACCGATTACTCTCTACCCATTCCGGGCATGTCACTTCACCTCTCCCCACCTCTGTGTCCCCCATCTGCAAAGGGGGGATGATAAGAGTGTCACTCATGCTGGGTTTTTGTGAGGATTCACTGTGATCAGTAAGTCCTCGATAGCATCTAATTGGTGGCGGTATTATGACATTTTAAGTGAATGAGCAAATCGTTGAGTTCATCAGACGCGTGTGTGGAGCGAGGGGATGGATGGAGTCCAACGTGCCCTTGGGGCGTGCCTGCCTTATTTCTTCCCTGACTCCCTCTCTCCCCTTCACAAAGGGTTCCAAGCACAAGCCCTGTCCGGACGGCCCCCAAGACCAAGCGCCACCTGCTGAGGAGTCCCCTCCTCCAGAGGGGCAGCAGGATATCTACTACGCCAACGTCACCTTTCTCAGGAGGCAGTCACAGGAGCCTCAGGACCGGGAGGCCAGCAGCACCACCGAGTACTCAGAGATCAACAAAAGCAAATGAGGCCTCATCCAGGACTTGGGGCTGGCGGAGGAGCCTCGACCCGCTGGGGGAAGGAAGTCAGTGAGTAAGCGATGAAGCCCGGGGAGACTTGGTGGCAATGCTAACGAAGAAACAGGTGACAGGGCTAACAAGACTTGGGCTCAAAGGCAGGCTTCAGCACCTCCTGAGCCATCTTTAGCAAGCGTTTCGCTTCATTTCTCTGTTGCTCCGTTTGCCATTCTGTGCCTCCGAGGTCATGCATCCAACCTCGAAGGTGATGGTGAGCATTAAAGGTTCAGTGCACGGACATCAACGCACACGGGTCCTGTCGCACGGTGTGTGCTCAGGGTTTGCGGGTCTCTCTCTCTCTCTCTCTCTCTCTCTCTCTCAACAGACAGGTCCTGCTTGCAAGTTACCCTGAGGCCCGGGGGGTGACCGGGCATGGAGAACAAGGTGGCAACATGTTGGTGTCACTCTCCTCCCCAGAACTCTTTGAAGCCTCCCCCGGTTAAGACCAGCCCCTCAGCCTCGCGCTCGGTTCGTGACATGGTATCTCATAGGCTCTCTGGGGTCATCTCGTTGCCCCACTTTGACCTGTCAGTTCTTCCAGCACATTCCTTCGCCTCCCGATCTCCAGTCCCTTCCCTATTCGGTTACGGGCCCCATGGGGATGGCTCTTTGTGACGGCTGTCAAAGTCGACTGGATGTTTTCTCACTAGAAAAAATATTCATTCAGAGAAAAAGCAAGCAGGAAGCCTTTCTTCCAGAGGGGAAGAGGAAGCTAAAGGGAGGGGCTGTAATGACCACAGAGCCTTGTTGTGACATCTAGTTCTTCCCCGGGGAGCTCTCGGGACCAATGTGGGGTGTGAGCGCTCCTCCCACAGCACCGCCTCCCGCCATTCCTGTCCTGGGTTAAGGTCTCTGCGGCAAATCTGGATGAGCGACAGCTGCCCCCGACTCTCTCCTACACGAGCCCCTTCCCAACCCCCCTGGCCTTAGACAGAACACCACAGGTGTCTTGCCCTGACGTTTATCTGCTCCCCAGCCCTCTCCTCCCGGCCTTTGTTCCTTCGACCAGCCGCGCTGGTCCACACCAAGGGATTTGCCATTCGAGATCCCCCTGCTGGAGGCCGCGCCACATTGCTTGCTCCTGAGTTACACCATCCCGTCCTTCCAACCGTAGTTTGTGGACAGATTTGGGGTGAGGGGGTGGACTGAAGAAAGAGCTCATTCTCTCCCTCCGCTAGAGCTGAACTAATTTAACTTTTAAAAAGAAAGCACGAAAACAGAAAGTTGCAATTCGCCAGCAGTGTTATGGTGTAAGCTTTTTTTCGATTGTGAGTTCCTGATGTTAAGCCCTCGATCGCCGAGGCGCCCCCCCATCCATTTCTGAGACGTCCGTCTGGGATAAGCACATTGCCAGCTACAACAGCTGGATGAAGAGCCAGACTGTCCCATCCGTGAAGTTCCCCCTTTTAGAAAGTCTTGGGTGACCTAGATAACTGTCCCCTACCCGTGCTTTAATTCCCTGTCTTATGTTTACGATTGGCCAGTGGTCCACCTGGGAAAACCTAGGCCCTTCACCGTCCATCCCAATAGAGGCAGAGCCCCAGGTTCTCTCCCTCTCTCTATCTCTGTCTGTCGCTGTCTCTCCCACTCCCTCCATCCTCCCCCTACCCCCCAATACCTTGCTGGGGGGCCCTCGGGCGTGTTGTGTATCCTTCGGGACCTGTGAGTGCAGTCGTCCCCCAGGAGATATGTTCCAAGTTCCCCAGTGGATGCTTGAAACCACAGATAGTACCAAACCCTGTATATATGATGATTGTTCCTATACATATGTACCCATGATAAAGGTTAATTTACAGATTAACGACAGTAACGAGAATAAAATAGAAGAGTTATAACAATATGCTGTGATGAAATTGATGTGAATGTGGTGTCTCTTTCTCTCAAAATATCTACTGTACTGTACTTACCCCCCTTCTCATGATGAGATGAAGAGAGCCGAATGACGTAACTTTAGGCTACTACGAGTGTTATTTGAACACAGGTACCACGATACTGTGATCGTTAATCTGCATGAATAATTAACTTACTAAAGTACTTAACAAATGAAAACTTCTCTGTCCCCCTAGATGATAGTACTAGATACTAGGAAATGTAAAATCCATTTCCTTCTGATCAAGACTTGTGCCGAAAATAACAAAATCCTTTGGGGAAAAAGTGACTAGAAAAAAATCAAATCCCTCATTTAAAAAGCACAGGATACCTGAAAAGAAAAGAAAATGAAAATGGGAACTTGTTAGGCCAGAGTCTGGGGGGAAGCCTGACTCCAGAGAGTTAGGAAGAATGTTGAAGCCGATACACCAAAACGGCCAATGGCATTTGCCCATCACGATCACGTGAGCTTTTGTTCTGTGGCTCTGTGCGGCCTGGAAATGAGTCAGGACCCCTGCCCAGGCACACAGCAGGGGCTCGGGACGGGCTGGCACTGTTCGAGCGGGGCCCAGAACCTGGCAGAGACACGAGGCGAGCAGCCCCTGAATTCGCAGAGATGACTCAGGTTTATTCACAATGTCATTTACAGGTGCCCGCGCTCCCAGGTCGGATCCCGGAAGGGTCCCTAGAAGGTGGGGACGGCCTCGGGGGCCGGAGTTCGGACCCGCTCCCCGTCTCGCGGCGCCCCGGGTGGCCCGGCCTCGTCCCGCCCCCGCCGG